CCTCTCCGAGCGCTGCACGGACGAGAGGAGCCGGCGCATCCTGGCCGCGCTGGTAGGTCCCGCGCCGTGCGTCCGGGGTGGCGGCCTCGGACGCAGTCTCCCCGGCACCCGAGCCCGCCAGGCAACGGCATCGTTGCGCCCACCCGTCCCACCCCATTTTACCCCAACCCGGAAGCTGGGACGGCGGTGACAGCGGCCGAGGGGGGTCCCCCGACCCGGGCGGGGAAAACCCGGCGCGATCGGGGTCTCCGCTTGGGAGTCCTTGGTGGGCGCGGGGATATCCCTCTCCTTTGCACCACAGTTGGCCCTTTGTCCCAAGACAGGGTTCCTCTCAGGTTCTTCACGCCCGGAGCCTCCGCTCTTGAAGAAAGTTTTCAGGTTGTTACCCGGTCTTGGGGAGCCGGGGTGGGGGGGCGGAGTTGGGGCCAGCGAGGACCATGCCTTTGTCCCTCATCCCCTATCCCAGCGCCCCCAGCACCGCCTCCCACTCAGGTGTGGTAGGACCCCACCTCTGCGCTTCAAAGCCGTAGCTCTCGGCAGTCAGTGTCTGTGGGAAGCGAGGCAGAGGGCGCGCAGCCGCCTGTGCGGGTCTCCCCTGCAGCCTCCTCAGGACGAGGGCCCGAGTCGCACACCAGACAGCTCCTTAGAGGGCTGGGCAGTTGTGGGGAGAGGCACTTGGATTTTGCAGACCGGTGCTTGCCCTGGGCCTCTTGCCCCAAACAAAATGCGCTTCTTTCCCTTACTGGACCGCCGGTTGCTCCTTAGCCCTTCCTTTTGTTGGGGGAAGATCGTGCGCTGCAGGTTTGAATACATTTAGGCATCCGTAGAAGGAAATCCAAGACAGAAGATTGAAGCAGATGCCGGTACTTGTGTTCTTAAGTGATTATTCACTTCCTAAAATAATGATCAGTTAAGCATTTGGTGTAAAAGATGACCTGTGTTGTGAGAAATCTGAGAAACACGTGGGAAATTTCCAATCCTGATGCTTACACACCGACAGGATTTCTGGGACAGCGGATTTCCAAAAATCGCACTATAAAGGTTTAAAAAGTAGGCGATTTTAGAAGTGGGATGGTAAAAATTAAAGAATGAAATCAAGCCACGTCCCTAATGGAATTGCTGCAGACTCCTGTCTCCATGCGCTCACCTCAGTCGGTGAGACTGTCCCTCTCCTTCGGCTCCCAGGCAGAAGTTTGTCTGGTTGTACTTTGCTTGCTAACTTATCTAAAAATCCCTTTAATTTACAAAGTTTTTTGGGAGAGCTGATTGACTAAACAAAAACTGATAGTTTGGCTAGGATGCAGGACCTATGCACAAATTTAATATAATAATCTTTTAAATTAAACTACAAATGAGCACTACTTTTCATTTATTTACCTTTGGTCAAGTGGGGAAAGGCTTAATGGAAATTAAATCATAACTTTTCCAGCATTCCTAGTCGTAAATTAAAACCAATTCTGTTTAGAAGCTTTACCAATACATCTTCACTGGTGGCCATGTGGAATCATTGTCAGTCTGACTTACAGCTGAAGAGGTTGGCTCTGCCTCTGAAGGCCCGCAATCTTAACTGTGGCCAGAAGAATAATTCACATCACCAGCTCTGCCCAGACTTTATTGGCATTCAGGTGAGCTGACCTGTCAGGAAGTTTGTGTGGATGATCCTATGACCCTACCTGAGTTTATTATTTTTCACACACCCTCAAGAATTCTCTCTCCCTGAGTATCCTTTGGAACTTACTGATGTGAGACTCCACAGTACTCTGGCTCAACTTTCGCCCAGGACACTCTAAACAAGGACAGCTTAACTACGAACCCAGTCTTCGCCGACCAGACAGGGCTGAGCTGGGCTGCCAGCAGAGAGGCTGGCATTGTGGCTCCCGAGACTGAGCTGAATTGAGCCTCTGTGTGTCCTGGCTCCCCTGGCACTTTTCATTCTGCCTGGCTTTCATCCTACATAATAAAACTGGTTGTTATTTTTCTGACTGGCCTCCAGACTCTCATTAGCTTTCTCTCAGAGTAGGGAGCACAGAAGAAACATTGCCAGCCAAGCTAAGGGAGGCTCTTTCTGGCAGAGCTGGGTTGTGGCGAATCCCCTCCAGGTGTTCCCAGACCCTGGTGTTCCCTGGCTCCAGCATGGCAGGTGTCATCGCTGGCCTGTGGGGAGAACCTACTGGAGCCAGAAGATGAGGCTTAGGAGCCCATTAGAGGATGGGGATAAGAGAGCTGCAGGTTCTCCTGAGCCCCTACCCTGCTTCCTGCCAGAGCCAACCACACTCTAGAAACTGGAGTCTTTAAAGGAGCCAATTTGAATAGTTCCAAAGGATTCCAGTTTGAGACTTTTCCAGTCAGACTACACTGCCCCTCTTTCTGCAGTTTCTCGTGTATGCTGAGCTAAAGAAACTGGTACCCATCCTCCCGGAGCTGTGAGGGACTTGGGGTCCCACTTTGCCAATGAGCTGCATGGGGAGGCTCAGCCAGGCTGAAGGATGTTTGGCGGTGCTCAATCATTTATGAACTTGGCTTCTTCTGCAGGCAGAGGATTCCACAGAGCCTGGAAGGCACCTGGTACCTGGCAGGCACAATACTGAGTCATTTTACATTATTCCATGTAATTATTCCATGTATTATTCCATTTAATAATTCTATTCCATTTAATAATTATATTCCACATAATTCCATGTATTATTCCATTTAATCCCTTCAACAATCTACCAAAAGAGGTATTCGCTTTTAGTACCCCTGCTTTTGCAGCTGGAAAAACTGCCCTGCTTTACACAGTTGCTAAGAAGCAAGGATGCCACCCGTGCAGTCTGTCAGTAGTGAACCCAAGATAGTGAGTGACTTCTCATACTCACCCCTTCTGTGCATGTTATTTCCAAAGCATCTCTGAAGTATTCCCAGAGACTGTGTTATTCAGAAGGCTTAACTGCCTGAGGCTAGTTAGGTCTTGATGGAATTTATTTTTGTTGTCTACTTTAGAAATTCTTTTTTCAAAGTGCAGTCTTATCTTCCTTTGTGGTGATGGGAAGTGTCAAGGTCTACCAGGACACAGTACGTAGGCACCATATCCAGAAAGATTTCACAGCAGGAAACAGCTTCAGCCTCATTCTTGATGTAGAGAAGGGTCGCAAAGTGGACTAGCTAATTGCTGAGATTCTGCAAGGCATGGTAGCTGGTGGGGAAGGAAAACCCTCACAAAATATGAATGCTGCTAAATGCATGTGAACTTAATGCTCCTTAAAAGAAAAACAGAAGGAAGGCCAGCCCCTCACCATGACCCCTGTGGCCTCATCCACACTTTCCTAGACTGGAGCAGACAGGTTTTGTTTTTGCCTGAGAACCGTGATACCAACTGGAAAGACACTAAACAACAACAACAAAGAAGGCCTCCAACAAGAGCCGGAGCTGATTTGATGGGAAAACGCGTTTGTGTGTGAATACACACTCCGTGAGAAACAAATTCTCTGAATCTAATTAATTTCAAAATATGCCACAGTTTACAGTGAGACCTTAGCTGATATTTTATTTTTCCAGTTTGGTTTTAAATCTGGTACGTGTGGACTTTATACGTACACACATTTGGGTACAGAAATGTACCTTTCTTCAAACTGGCAGTTAGAAAGTCCTCAAGAAAAAAGTTTGATACAGTTTGAATATAAAAATGGACTTAAACTACTTTTATTGAGTTAAAATGGCTACTTCAACAAGATACGCTGCTAATACAATAATTCAATGACTTTCTCATATAATAAAAGTTTTTAATTATCTTCTAAACTTGAAATTTGTATACTAACTTTTCTGAATTGCTGGATTTAGGCTTTCTGTGTAATTACCAGGCACAGACATGCAAAAAGATCCTGAGAACTTGCAGAACACCAGCTGCTAACCAGCTGCAGTGCATACATTTTATATTTTACATAATAAAGACAGAAGCTGAAATTCCAAAAAATTCTTCCTTATAAAAGATGATAACCAAAATGGCTCTATAATAAGTGCACAAAGATATATTTTTTATTGCATGCCTTGCTTCAATGTAAATTATCTCTCAAGACGGATGAGATAACTGGGATAGTGAAAAGTTAGGTCAGAAACCCAAGATCTCACCTGCGGTAGGTGGCCCAGGTCTGGGTTTGGTCACCAGAGTCCACCTTTGCCCTCTCTGATACTGCATCTACAGTTTTAGAGATTAGCCCTTCTTGGTCCCAGCAAGAAGCCACCACGTGGGAGGTGTGCCTGTCATCCAAAGTGCTGACTGCCAGAAAAATAGCCACAATTAAAGTTCCCTTCAAAAACCCATAGGCTGATGCAAAATTCAATGATTATACCATTGTTCAAAATGTCTTGCATCTCCTTAACAGGAATTGCCTTCCATATTTGCTGGGGTAGATCTTGTATGTGGTTCAATTTGGTTTCTATTTCCTTGGTGCAGTGCAGTTGTGTGCTGGTGCTCTTACTTTGGTGTGGCCCCATGGGACTGAACCTTGAGGCCTCACTGATGCCATTGCATCCTGGTGGGATGAGCTGGCTTGTGAGCCCTCAGGAGTCACTCATGGGTAGTGGCAGTGATCACTGCAGGTCAGATGAGAAGAGTGAGGGTCTTGGCAGTCCCTTGGTGCTTCCTCCTTCCTTCACTCACAGGCAAATGGAAACCAGCTCTGTGGCTTTGCTAAGCCCATGGCCAGGGCCTCACCTTCATCCCTTCTTTCCTAGACTCTCCCTCAGCTGCATCTGGACCAAGCCCTTCCTTTCCCTCCCCTCCTCTGCAAAGTAGGATTTGGAGCTCCCAGCCCAACCAGGTCACATCCCCTCTTGCTCTGGGATCCTGTTACCTGCTGTCTCAGTTACTTTTCTTTCATTGCTGAGACAAAATACCTGATGCCCAGAGTTAAGGAAGGAAAGGTTTATTTAGCTCACAGTTTGTGGTGGTTTTAGTCCATATTTGGCTGGCTCCAAGGCAGAGTGGCACATGGCAACAGTTCATGGTGATGAAAAAACAGCAAAAGCAACAAGAGCAAAAGGGAGGACAGGGAGCAAGCAGCCTCTTTCCTTCTCTTACATTATATGCGAACTACCCATCCCAGGGCAAGTGTAGCAGTCATACCCATAATCCCAACATTGGACTGTGGATCAATCATAAACTAGAAGCCCACCCCATGACTGAATTAGACTGTGGGGGGACATCCAGACACAAGCCATATTACCTGCCTTTCTTTCTTTTGCAGTTCTCTCCCATACTTCATGCAGAATCACCTTTAATTAAATTACAAATGTGATAACACTAGAGAAATGTTTATGGAATTGAATCAAACCAGTTTTAGAGATCTCTTTTAATTTAAAGGGAAATCAAGAAAAGCAAGTGTTGCATTTTCTTATCAGATTTATTATAGAGATATGAACTCTGTAAATACCAGAAAAAAACCAAATAAAATTATCATCCCATACTATTTCTGTGGTTCACATCTCACTGCCTGGTTGTTTCAGCTCCACCATTCATCCACCTCTCCCTTCTAAGATTGTCCTTAAAGATCTTTCCTCCAATGGTGACATGGAGTCAGTTATACCCAAACAGTTACACAAAGGGTCTCAATCCTTTTCATGTTTTTTTCATGAGCCCATGCCTTGCAAAAAGGGACCAGAGTCAAAGTCAAAGAAGAACATTTTACAAAATTCTGCTCCATTCCCAGAAGAATAGAGCATGTGCACTTGACTTCAGGTGTGTTTAAAGCAGTTTTGTGTATGTGCTAACACAGCTTCTTCGAGGCTGTTGGTTTCCCAAAGATAAAAGTTCAGCCCCAGCCCCAGGCCCTGATGTCATTCAGTAGCTGGAGGATCAGGTTCATGACTTTCTACATACAGAGATTTATTGCCTGCAGCTTGGAGTATGGGGAATGTGGCCCCTCCCCATTAAATATACAGAGATGTGAAGCCCAATGACTGGCAGAGATCTCTTTATCAGAAGCAGAGGGAGGGCCATCAGCTTGGACAACATGGCTTTGTCTTGGAAATTAGCGCCTGAAAGTGTCCAGACAATCTACATATTTCTCTTAAGCACTGGGAGTATTTCTAAGTATTTTAAACAATCATCTTCTGGTATTTATAAATATCTATATCCCTTTTTAAAAACACTTTGGGGCCAGGTGAGTTTTGAAATTCAAGCTTTTTGGGTACTGGAAAGATAACATGGCACATGCACATTATATTTTGCATATAGGACAGTTCCAGTAATCAAATTCTGTAGCAAAACATATGCAAATTCACACTGAGTAAATAGCCTCACATCTGTTCAGTGTAGTTTTGACACCACATCAGGCCAAATGAGTCATGAGACTTGTGGTTTCTAGGCCTTTTTGAGTTTGGAATTACTTATGTGTCTAGTCACTGGAGGTTCATTTTCTCAACTTTAAGTAGGATCTTGTAATCTATTTTGGATTAATAAAGCAGACTGGTGTAAAACATTTCAGCCTTTGAAGATTATATAAATTAGTGTCTAAGTGTTGTTTGTGGGCCCTCTCACAGTCCTGGCACTTGTGTGAATAGTTTCTAGCTTCCACATGGGCTCCTCATGTGGCTAAACAGTCACTGTGCAGGAGGCAGAGTCGGTGTGACATGAGGAGGGAATCAGGCCCAAGGAGCTAGGTGACTTTCTCAGGGTATTGCAGCATAGCCTGGGCCTGAAATCCAGCTTCTGGCTCTTGGTCTGGTGCTTTGCAGTGTGCCACACTGCCCAGTGTCTGAGCAGACCCTTCAAGGTGTTTTATAATAAATAAAGTCGGGTGGAAAAGCACTGTGATTTTTATACTCATTTTTTGGTCTTGTGAAGATTAAGGTGACTGTAGCTGCATGTGCTGTAGAAAACATTCCAGGAAAGAAGAAAGGCTGTGTTTATTGATGAGGGAAGAAGATTCATTTGTGGGAAAAATGAGTAGGATTAGAAAATATGCTCAACTTCTAATAGAAATGGGTGTAAATGTTTAAGTTGCTGAAACAGAATTAGAACAGTCCTTTTTACTCCGTCCTATACCTCTTCTTCTTTTTTCCTGACTCTTGAAGGATAGTGCAGCTAGACAACATTCTCAGAGAATTTCTAATAAGGTGAGAAGGATCACCACAGGTCCCCAGGTGGCCCTATGCTAAGGCTTCCAGAAGTTTATGCGAAACTCCCTGTCCAAGGCTCCTGGCTGGCCGTCCTCACTCCCACCAGGATCACAAACACTCCCCACACTTCCAGAATGTAACCCACGCCATTTCTCCTGGTAACCTGCCTCTGGTCCACCAGCCGTGTTCTAACTCCTGCAGCCCCTCAGCATCCTAGAGCTGCTAGCCATGAAGGCTGTACCAGTTCATGTTGAAAATAGCAAGCTCAAGATGCATGCCTGCTAGAAGGGACAGTTGACCTAGGGTTGACCTAGAGGGCAGGTCAGGATTTGAGGCCCCATCTGATTTAACAGCTTTTGGATGGGATGTTCAAGGTCTCTGGGTGAGCTCACATATGCAGCCAAAGATGAGAGGCACTGGCCTTGCCTAGCACCTTCTTCTGAGTTAGGTTTTCCTAGGGCACTGGTCCACAGAGGGTGAGATTCTTCAGGTGTCCTGATTCTAAAGACTTTGTCCTCAGCTCAGTCGAGACACAGTCATGATGACATTCTCTTCTAACTCTCATTGAATTAGTCTTGTCTCTGGGTCCAAAGGGGATTGGTTCCAGGACACCTGTGAATACCAAAATCTGATCTGGGGATGCTCTAGTCCTTTATATAAAATGACACACCATTTGCACATAATGTACACACATCTTCCCATATATTTTCAGTGTAGGTATAACTTGTAAAAAATATTCTCAATGGGCCATTGGCTGTAGGACTTGCAGATTCAGAGGACTCTCTGTACTCATCCACATGATGACTTTCATTCACATCTAGGAAGCATCTGTCCACAGCTGGATTCCAAGTCCCCCGAGCTCAGGAAACAAGCTGTGCCTTTCTATGCCCCCACCCACCACGGGCCTAATGCCTGCCCCATTGTGACTAGCTGTTCCCTTTGTTCCAGTGCCAGGACTACCAGGGTGGCTGGCTCATGGGAGACCTGTGTGAGGACCTGTGTGTGGCCAGGGAGCTGCTGTACCAGCGCTGTCTGTACTATGAGCGTGGCAAGAAGGTGCTGCAGGCCCAGTGGCGTGGCCGGCCCGTGGTCCTCAAGTCCAAGAGAGAGGCCTTCTCCAGTTTCCCAGCCCTTGGCCTGTTGGAGGCAGAGACAGGACAGGGAGCCCAGGGTGTGCCTGAGGCGGAGCTCCTCCTGATGGTGGCTGCAGAGGTCAAGAATGCCTTAGGCCTGGAGCTGCCCAACAGCAGTATGGGATCTTTGTGGCCTGGCCATTGGGGCCCTGGCTGGAGGAGGCAGCTGGCCAGCGCATGGTCCCTGCTGCAACAGGAAGAGTACGTGTACTTCAGCCTGCTCCAGGACCTCAGTCGCCATGTCCTGCCTGTGCTGGGCTCCTGTGGCCACTTCTACGCAGTGGAGTACCTGGCTGCTGGCAGCCCTCGCCACAGTACTCTCTTCCCTCTGGATGAGGCTGCCCCCCAGGGTGGCCAGGCTCAGGCCAAGGCCATCAGCCACATCGCTCTCAGCTTCCTGGACATGGTGAGCCACTTTGAAAATGACTTCTCCCACCGCCTCCACCTCTGTGACATCAAGCCTGAAAATTTTGCCATCAGGCGTGACTTTACGGTAAGCAAGGTGGGTGGGTGTGTTTTTAGTGTAGAGAGCAATGCTTGTGGTCCATGTAGGGGGAAGTGAGATCCCCTGTAAGCTGAGTGTCCTGTAGCTTCAGATGACTTCCATTTTTCAGACCACTTCCTTGCCCAACAGGGGGAGTTGGGTGAAGGATTCCACAGCAGGAGACAGAGCTTCCTTGAGGGCAGCTCGGGTGCCTGCAGGCAGCTCAGTGGTTTCATAGAGCTAAAGTACCAGCTGGCCATCCTGAGGATCTGTGTAACTTACAGAAGGCAGGTAACCAGCAACTGCAAACAGTGAGGGCCACAGGGCTGTGTGTTCAAACCACCTGTGCACTGGGAAAATATGCATTTTCAGTATTTTCTTCTGGAAAGGTTTTGGTTCAGTTCTAGTCTGTTTATAAGACATCTAGAGGAACACGTGAAGTTCTAGTGCCTTCCACCAGCTGAGACCTGCTGGAGTGACAGATCTGTTGCTGCATTGTCTGTAGAGGGCAGGTGGATTTTAATCTCTCACTTTCTCCACCAAGGTAGAGAAAAACAGCAACAAAGACTTCATTATTTTATTGTAAGGTAACCTCTGCCCTAGCATGAAATCAGCATGTCAGATTAGTGCTGCCTCCCCTAACCCTAACAGTGGCCTCAGTGCTCACCTGGTCAGGTGCCAGGTCACCCAGCAGAAAGTTGTGACAAGTAGCGTGTGATGTGGTGGGCATGGGGTGGGTGCTGGGAAATGGCTGTTCTCTTGTTCCCTGTTTTGTAATGTTTGTTTTCATGCTGCAAATGCTGGCAGGTGAATGAGCAGGGCAAACTGGTCACTCTGGGCTCTGGCTGGTGGTGAGGTAATGATCTTCACCCTACTTAGAACATAAAAGGACAACAAGGAGATTCCATTACTGCTGGCTTAAAGCAGCTTGGAATCTAGAAACTAAATTTGCCACCAATGTAAACCGCTTGTCCAGTCAAGGCTTTGTACCTACTGATTTGTCCTAATTTACTGACTCTGGCTGCCCTGGAGGGGCTTAGAAACCAGGGGTGACTTAAATGTGGAAGGGACCAAGCTGGAAGTTTCTGGCAGGTTCCAGAAAGTTCTGCAGGGTTCCATGAGGATCTGTACACTGTCAGGGGGCTGTAAAAAAGCTCAGCTATGCCTGCGATGCACACAGCTCCATGCTGCCTCTCGGGTGAAGGGTGAAGTTGTCAGGGATATGTGTCCCACTACCTGGCCATATCATTTCTTACAGCTGAAGTGAGATTGCCATCCCAGCCAAGGCTTCTTTGCTTAGCGATCAGGAAGAGCATGCAGTAGAAAGAAGGGCTGTTGTTCTCCACCTCAGAGAAGTCTTCGGGTATAGCCACTGGGGTTGGGGCATAGCCACACTGAGTCCTGGGAACATGCCCCCCTGAAGGGTGGAGTGCCACATACAGCTCCCTGGCCTTGGGCAGTTATGGGCCAGTTCTCTTGATGCAGTCTCTTGTTTGTTCATCCAGCAAGTACTAGGGCAGATGCCATGAGAGTTAAAGATTTGAGAGGATACCTGCATTATAAAGTTGCTGGGCTGATAGGTCTTCCATGTGGAGTGGGCAACATCAGATGTTCCTGTGTGCACATCTGCTAATAATCCAGCTACTGCTTTGTGCAGCCATCTAAATTGTGCTTCTAACATCTTGTGTACAGTAGACATAAAATATTTGTTTGGAGAAATGCTATGTGCTCCTTTTCCTCACCCTCAAACTATGCTTTGTGGGCTGGTGCTGGGCACTTCTGGGCTGTTACCTCTGCTTTCTTGCTGGAATGGGTGGGTATAGAGAGCCCTTTGGAGCCTTTTGGGTAGTGGTTATTGTGCTGAAAAAGTCGTGTGTTCCAGCCGTGTTGAGCACCAAATATATAGAGCCCTTTCGGGTCTTTGTCGTAACCCAGGAAGTTTATATTTGTAATCCCATGGAAAGTTATCAGAATTTTAGCGAGTTAATTCCAATCTACCACTTCCAGTGCAACTCATGGTGAGAATAAAGACACTAAGACATATTTGTAGTTATGGGGAACCCAGGGGTCCTAAGTCCAGCCACAGTGATGGCCATCTGGAACAAAGGCCTTGACCCAAGGCGAAACCTGGGTTTTATTCTTTCATGAAGAAGGGAGTGGCTAGAGGATGAGTGACTGTGAGAATGGTGGGAAGTAGGTGAGTGCCATGAGCTGGGCTAACTAGGAGGACTAAAATCATCTCTGCAAATGCAGAGAAGGATATAAAGAAAGAGCAATCTGCATAACACAACTGAGATAGTATCTAATGTTTTGTGGTCCGTGCTTCAGCTCTGATGCACAATCTTTCAAGCCCCAGGAAGTCATAGCCTCTATCTCAAAGCTGGATCCCAGCCAATAGCATGGAGCACTGGCTCTTCATCCTGTCTGGTCCTGGCTCACACAAGGGAACAATGGGTGGGGGTCCGGGGAAACACATCTGCTGTCTTCAAAGACTACCATCAGCACCTCGGCTGGACCTATATGTATTGCTTAAAGCCAATTAAAGGGATAATTTTAAAAAGGGGAGGGATAAAAAAAGGTCCTAGCCAGCTCTGTACATGTCAATACATGGAAATAGGGTCAGGCTCATCCAAAATGGAGACAACTGCTCCTCCTTCAAGGAAAGTTGCCCAGGTGGTCCTCTACAGGTGGGGACAGGGGACAGGGGAAGGAGGATCCCTTTTACCAGCCTGCTTCATCTTTACCTTCTTGAAGATACTGAAATATGAGGCAATTGTTTTACCTAAGATTTTATAATTTTTAAGTGAAAACCAAAAGTGCATACTTCATCAGAGGACCTGTTAGAAATGCAGATTTTCAGACTCTACGTCAGACCTCCTAAATCTGAAACTCTCAGGGGTGGGGCTCTGAAATAAATGTCACCTCTTAGGTGGTTCTTGCGTGCATTCACATCTATGAATCAGGCGCACTCAGGGTCCCAGCAGGCAAGTCCTGCCTTTGCGCCTGGCTGCCCTGTTGTGCATGTGTGTGTGTGTGTGTGTGTGTGTGTGGGCTTCCTGATGGGGTGTGACGATAGAGGAGTCCAAGTGCCTCACTCATCTGCAGGCTGAGCACACTGCAGGTCTTGAGAATGGATCCAGTTGCTACAAATGAACAGCAAGGAAACACCAGGACATTGTGACTCCAAATGATAGCCAGCAGGTGAGGTGATCCTTCTGAGCAGGTGAGGTCTTTCTACTCAACAGAATACATGTGGTGAATGGAAGATGAAACAGTTCCATTTGGTGGAAAATGAGATAATTCTCATTGATCTTTCTGTTCTGATCTTTCTGCCCGGGGAAGTTTGAATATGATGCAACAGAGGTAATTTCATGCAGGAAGAATATTATGATTGTCTTGATGTTAAGAAACATTATGCAAGTTTTTCCTGCTTGTTTTGTTACTATATTTTAGGTGTATAGGGTTGTGCTTACAACAGCTGTCTAGGTTGTGTGATATAAATTAAAAGATAAATCTGGCTCTCTCTGGGAGATGAGGAGGAAACCATCAGAAATGAGAGAAAGAGAGGAGCAAGGAGCTGGAACTCTATCTAGGATCCTGGGGAGACTGCCAGAAAGTATGGAAAAAGGAGAAAGGTCTTGTAGGAGCCCCAGCAATAAATCATAAAGATTCTTTAGCATAGCTTTCATTCATTTTTAGTGCATTGATCAGGCTAAATAATGAAATTAGCCATTTATTTTGGCTAAATAAGGAGATAGAAAATATTGACTAAAATAATAAATTCTGCTCTCTATGCCTGAGTTACTTACATTAGGCAAAGCCCCTTAAATAGAGAAAAGTTATTTGTTCCTTATTTTCATTATTTCACATATATATTGAAATAAATTATGTTCTTTCCTGTTCTGCTTTACTGAACAACCCTCAAGAAATTTTACTGCCTTCCAGTATCAGTCTTAAATGAAAAACAAAAACAAAAGCCAGGGAATATGTCTCCCATCCCTGCGTAGGATTAAGGAAGACATAAACACCAGCAATTGAGCTGTTTTCTCAGAAATGACTGAAGCGGGAAGAGGAGGCTGATGCTTTGACACTGACCTGTGAGGGCTTGTGAAATGCCACCAACTCCATCAGATCCATCAAATTTCCTAATAGCTTCTTAATACCTCGAAGCTATAAGCCGCTCAACTTGGGCAGACTCCAGGTTTTCTTAAATTTGAAGTCATCTTTTTTTTTTGTGTCCAGGTGCTGGAGTGAAATCTGCATAATTTAGGAGTTATTCTTTTTCTGTTTTTGAAGCCTGTTTGGTTTGAAGCCAGAAAGATAAATCTAAACTTCTAGGGAGTCATCAAATTCTCCTGCCGACAAGGGAACTTAGTAGCTGATACTGTTTGGTCAGGGTCCATGCAGATCTATCCTATTTGAACACTTTGCCATTTTTCCAACGCTTCCTCTAACTGGTCAGTTGGAAACCAGCTGACTCTGCTAGCAGATCATAAAATTTAAATATTGCCTACCTATTTCTGCTATCTCTCCAACAAAACTGCCACTCAAAAATAACTTCCTTTTGCTGCTTATAGTGTGTGTGTGTGTGTGTGTGTGTGAGGGGGAATTATTTGTATCTCACAACTTTTTTGTCCTGTCCTTGAGCATGTGAAGAGTGAGAAAACTGTCAAAATCAAGATGGAGTCATTTGTATCAACCCTAACAAAAAAAGCAAAGCAGGGTTGTGTAGGAAGGGTTGTTATGCATGACTCCTTGATTATAACTATCACAAGAGACTGTTAAAACTCACCGTTGCTTACAGGCCACTGCAACCTTAGACAAAAGCACTTCTACAGGGACATGTGCCCTGCAGCTATCACCTCAGACTGACACCACCCTTTTTACTAATCATTGTAACCAAGTTTATTGCTTCAAAATATCTGATGTATTCTTCCTCATTTTTGTCTCTAAAAACTTCCCCTTGGCCCAAACTCCTTGAATATGCCCAAAGTTTACTAGGGCATACGTCTTCCCATTACAGTGCTATTCCTAAGTAAGTGTGAGCATTCTTTGGAGGATCTCTTTCTATTTTTTTTTTTTTATTTAAGTTGACAAAGGTCAGAGATCAGAGTGATAAGGTGACAGAAGGAAAATTAACTCTTACACTATTTCAGAGATTGTACCTTTAAGGCTGAGAAAATGTTCAAGATGAAAAGTGATACTTGTGGTTATGGTTCTAAATCCTAGAATTTAGCTAGTGATAGCAAAGGTGCTTTTTGCAGTTAGAACTTTGCAAATATCTATGTCAACTGCTTCTGTCAAAGAAAACACAGGTACACTCTTTGAAGCAAGCCACTCCGCAGGGTGTGGTCTGGGTTCTTTTGCTTTGGCTAGCAGAGTTCCGCATCACTGCAATCTGAACACACACAGCCACCATGGCGGGAGAAGGAGCTGTTGTGAGACAGGCGCCCTCTGTTGTGGCCGTGGGTGTCATTTTGGTCATTGTGTGCCATATTGATTACAGGTGGTGGCTATTGATGTGGACATGGCCTTTTTTGAACCTAAAATGAGGGAGATCCTTGAGCAAAATTGCACAGGGGATGAAGATTGCAATTTCTTTGACTGTTTTTCAAAGTGTGACTTGAGAATAAACCGGTGCGGAGCTCAGCGTGTCAACAGCAACCTGCAGGTAAGCAGGCGTGAGTTTGGGGCTGGGAAGACATCTATGCTCTGGTTGCCTCTTCCAGCTAGTGGCACTGAAGATCCTTTCAGTGGAGTTGGAGATCCACCTCTCCCACCATCTGGGCTCGACATGTTCCATACGGGCGGGAGAGGGGAAGTTCTTTGTTGATCTTGTTGCCTTCTCTGGGTGGTCAGTCAAGTGGACCAATGGGGGCTAACGCGTGGAGGTCTCAGCAGAGTCTGCCTGCTGGGTCTCCTCTTCCCTGTATCTCCACCTTAGCTGGAAAGGTTGGAGAGCTGTTTTCTCTGAATCCAGCATCTGCATTTTCATAATAGTCTCTCTGTCACACACACATCAAGAACAAGAACCTACAGACTCACTCATCAAGGATAAGACTGACAAAAGTGCAGAGCAGTCCCGAGAAATGGGTCCAGTAGAGAGTCTGGACAGACACCAGAGTGCAGACAGGCAGGGCTAGCACAGCACGTGGTTCTCAGAAGAAGAAACCACATCCCAGAGTTCAGCCAGGAGTAAGAATGGACATTGGCTTCAGGAAGTCAGATTGGATCAGGAGGTAGCAAGATCCCAAGTTCAGGGTTGGATACCCCATCAGTAGGAAATCATCTTTTGTCTTTTGAAAGAAATCATTCCCTCTTCTGTCACTTGAGGACTGTATTAGATGAGGGTGAACTTGGTTCTGGTTAAAACCAGAGCTTGGTCCACTGTCTCTGCAAAGGCAGACAGTGCCAGCTCCTTTCCCTGCCGCCTGGGTGTGTGCGATTGCTATACAGGCTCTTGTCCCACACTTTCTTCCCCTTTAATTCTCTGACCTCACCCACTCCCCTAAGCACACCTCCTCTCCGCCTCATCCTCTCAACAGGCCTGGCACCTGGAAGATGTGACCTGCAGTACAGATTAAGTCAGAGCTGGCCAGGGAAGCACAGCCCAAGGCTGCTATCCCATCATGGAAGGCTGGCCTGGGGAGACCTGGACAGTCATGTTCTTAATATGGTGGTCCTTGGCCAAGCAAGACATGGTTCTGTAACCCCAGTGTCTACCCAAACTTCTGGGCTGAATTCTGGAATCACAAGTGTTTCGACTTAGGGAGGTTAGCAATGATGTGGCCTCAGCAGTGAGCCATCCAGCCTCTCTTTCAGTTGGACTCACACCCTCAGTGGGTCTGTCACAAAACTCCTCTTCTTCGCTTTGGAGATAAGATGATTTTTCACTCAAGTTTCCTCCACCCTGTGATCCCATCTACCAAATGGGAACACACTTATTCTGTACAGCATAATGAGAGAGGGAGGTTCCATTCTTAAGTATAGGATGGGCCCTTGCAGATTCATTAAGAGGCAAGGGGAGCCCAGAGAAGACTGGCAAGAAAGAACAGGTACCAGATACATAAATGTTGAAATGCAAATGGGAAAAGAACATGGAAAATTATTTAGTCTCATCATTCAGAGACATACATATTAAAATTCAATGATAAGAAGTTTCTTTTTTCCGTTGGTAGTAGTTTTTAAAGTACTATTAATTAATGATGGAAGCATCAGGAACATAGATGTGTCTATATTATTAACATGATTATAAATTATATCTCTATGGAGAGATAGGCTGAGCAATATTACTTGCCCATTTTTCTGATAATTGCTTCTTAATAACTACTAGAAGCAAAATTGCATGAACTTTAAGAATAGGAAATAATATGAAGTATTTAAATATACAGCTGGGCATGACTGCTAACACCTGTAATCCCAGAACTTGGGAGGCTGAGGCAGGAGAATCATTGTGAGTTTGAGGCCAGCCTGGGCTACAAAGTGAGCTCAAGGTCAGCCTGAACTTCGTAGTAAGACCGTGTCTCAAAATAAATAAATAAATAAATAAATAAATAAATAAATAGGTAGATTACTATTTACGATATGACCCCATCTTTGTTAAATAGTATGTGTTTGGAGAGACAGATATCAGAGTCAAAAGCAGTTATTTCTGAATGAAGGAATTAGAGTTCTTATTTTCTTCATCTTTTCTACATTTTGTAAATTTTTTACTTTTCTAACTTCAATTTGACTCAGAAAATCCCTGCCCTGGATAAATAGAGTGATGAATCAATGGAATAGAACTGATAAAATTTCAGAAACGGATCTAGTGAGAGGTGGGCATTTAGTCTGTGGTGAGGTGGACATTTCAGCCCCCTGGGGGGGATCTGGTTATATAATTAATGTCTGGTATTGGTAAACTGGGAGCAAAACAAATGGTCACATTAACTCCCAGTTTCACACTTTAAGTCAAACTAAATTCCAGATGGTTCAAGTACTTACACGTAACAAGTGAAATCCTACAAACTGAAAGAAGTATTACTATTATCGTAGTGTAGCACAGGCCCGTGTAAGTAGTGAGCTGAGCTCAGCAGGCAAAGGAAGAGGAGTTGAAAAATTTACCTATCTTTCAAAAAATCCACACTGCCCAAAACAAAGTAAAACTATAAAAAAGGAGCAAATTTAAAATGTTTGCAATCCCCCTTACAGACTAGGAGGCCAGAGGATGGCTAGAGCAACTCCCAGCTCCGGGGCTTCCTTCTTAGGGGCAGCACCTGGGAACCCGTCAGTGAGGGAGGAGGGGAGGACAGAGCCTTGCCTCACTAAGGGTAACTGCGGAGGTTCTTTTCTCTCAGTTCCCTTGATGGGGTCCCGGAGGGAGCCCCTCAGTGAATCCCTGCATGTAAGCCTCCATTTTAGCATCCATTTCCCAGGGAACCAACACAGAGCAAGGGGCTGATACCCTTAGACTGTAAAGAACAGCTGGAAATCAGTACAAAAAAGACCAACAGCCTGATCGAGCTTTGGACAAAAGATACAAAATTGACCATTCACTGAGAAGGAAGCACGAACAGTTTTCCGCCTGACTGAGAGTAGGAGAGCTGCACGTTAAACCTTTGCACCTATCTTTTGGCAAAATGAGAGTCTGGTGTGAGGTCACTGGAGGACAAGCATTCTGGGCCCCTTACAGAGGGAGTGGAAGTTGGTGCAACGTTATGGGGTCAATTCGACATCTGGCAAAACAAAACAAAACAAAAATACACACACCCCTTGACCCAGAAATTCCTCTCCTAGAAATTTACTCATATGTGCAAAGGGTAAGTCACACATATATGCAAGATATTTACTGCCAACATTGCTCACAAAAACAAAAGTTGGTAAAGAGCTTCAATTTCCATCAAGAGGAAACTGCTTAAATAACTTATGATACGTCCACACATTTGAGATGTAGCTGTTAAAACAAATGGAATACATTTATAAGAGTTGATTTGGAGGGCTATCCCTGACATATAGCTAAATGGGAGGCAGAGCTTTAGAACACTGTGTAGAATGCTACAATTTGTATAAAATAAACAAGAGGGAAATGCATATATAGGCTTAGACTCCACCATAGGTGTCCAGCCTTTTCTTTTTATCAGTACTAGAGACTGAACTCAGGGTCTTTTTAAAACTTTGAGACAGGGGGTGGTTAAGACTCTAAGTTGCCCAGGCTGAGTTTGAACTTGGTGATCCTCCTGCCTCAGCCTCCCAAGTGCCGCAATAATAAGCATGTACCACCATGCTTGGCTAGGTGTTGAACTTGGGTTCTTGCTTTTTAAAGAAAAATGTATAATAAAAAGCATAAAAAAAAAGAATATTTATCACTTTTCTACACTATCTATATTACATATTTTATATGTAGCCCAAGGTAATTCCTCTTCACTCATTGCAGCCCTGGCAAGCCAACAGGTCGGACGACCCCGGCTTTCAAAGAACACTGGACCAAGCTGCTGCCTGTCAGTAGCAGGGTGGTTGAACACTGAGATTAAAATATATCCTTCAGGATGTTTTCAATTCTGTACATGAAAATATATTTACTATGCAAAAACGAAATAAGCCGGTGTTGTGGCACATGCCTACTATCCCAGCATTCTGGGAGGCTGAGGCAATCAGATTGAAAATTCAAGCTCAGCCTGGTCAACTTAGCAATTAAACAAGACCCTGTCTCAAAATAAAAAAATAAAAAGGGCTGATAAAAAAGGGTGGGGATGTATCTCAGTATGAAGGCCCTGAGTTCAATCCTCAGTATTGCAAAGAAAGAAAGAAAGTTGTTTATAACATGAATCCTTGGCATTACAGGGCTCGGAAAATTTAAATTAAAATTGTTTGCCCTCTAGGAAACAGCAATGCTATAAATTGGAGGCATTTGTTAAATGAGTGTGACAGAGAAAAATAAAGCCGTATGCCTGAGTCAGCTCTCCCAGTAAGAGTGCAGCTACGAACGTGGTAAACAACATGCTGGAATGTGGACTCTGAGACTGCCAGTGCCAGTGAATTGCACAGCCTATTTGAATTAAAGGCTGTGAGACAGGCCTTTAGCCTTTTACCTCTGTTCCTTTTTTTTTTTCCAGTACCGGGAATTGAACTCACGACCTGGCACTTGCCAGGCAGGAGCTGTGCTGCTGAGCTAAATCCCCAGCCCCTTACTTCTGTTCCTAAAGTGTTTCAAAGCTCTGCACCTTAGGAGGGCCCTCCCTGCAGTCTTCCCTTTCCAGTGTACCTTATTCCCATCAACATCCCAGGGCCAGTAACAGCTTACATTTGCATTCCTAGTTTGCTCAGAGCATTATCTGGCTTCAGGACAACCCTGTCCAGTGGCCCTCCTTGCTGCTGTGATCACACAGCAAGCCCTGGTGGAGGAGGTGCCAGAGTGAGACTGGCTGCCCGGGGCCACAGAGGCTTCCTTGCACAGCAGCCCCTGCCTATAACTTCTGTGCTCCCTTCGCTCTGCAAATGTGTTCAGTCCTCGTTGAAGCATCAGCTCAATGTTTTGCCCTCTGCTTTGGGGCTAGAAATGGGATTTTCTGCATTATAGGGAGGTAGCCTTCCGCTCCCCGAGGCATGATCTCCTCCAAGTGCTGGATGGTTTACATTGTAGAAGGGAAAACCCTTCCAAGAGTTTGATGACCTCCATAGCGCCCTCCCTGAAGGAGCAAAGCAAGACTCAGCTTGAGAACCAGATGCAGATCTGGGAAGTTCTTAAGGATGATTTACCACCTGAATTAACTGCTTATCTCTCTTTCCCTCAGGTCATCTGCAACAAAATTTTCCACCACTGGTTCTCCTCATCTCCCAGGAGCCCAGCCGTGTCCTTCCCTCTGCGGCTGCAGTTACAGCAGGCCGTGCGGGAGTGTGCGGGCTCTGCAGGTCTCAGCGGGAACTCTTGGAGAGCGGCCCCGCAAGTGTTCTGGAAGCTTCGAAGACTCCTCCAGGCCACACTGAGGGAGCTGCAGGACATGGAGTAGTAGCCATTCTCCAGCTGGAAACCTGCTTGGGTGGGAAATGTGACCTTCAAGGGCTTTTCTCTGCATTTGTTTCAGATGAGACATTTTCACCGTGCGAGTGAGTTATCCCTAAGATACTGCTGTGTCTTCCGAAGTGCACAGTTCTACTGCTGTGAGAAGTGCTTCTGTGCCACCCAGCTGGTTGCTCTAGTTTGGTCCTGGCTTCTGCCCCATTCCCCTCTGAAAAATGAACTGAGGCGGGCCAGAGGCATTTTACTTTTGGGAGGCTCTCAGAAAACACAAACCCTGATGTGCAAGACTGCAGAGAATGCTTTTACCTGGATACAGAGCAAAAGGAGTCCAGCCCCTCTTTCCTGTACACAATTACTGCATTTAAGAAAGTGTGTGTACACACGAATGGGAGTGCAGTGCAGATAAATGTGAGCACAAGAGTACAGTTGTGCACATAATGTGTGAATATGCATACGTATATGTGTGTGCTCATGTGAATGTCCGTGTGTAGGAAATAAGAGTGTGTGCATATGAATGTGTGCATACAGGGATGTTAATGTGGGCCTGTGTGTAAGTGTGCACATGACTGTCAGTGACTGCCTGTGTGATGGTGCTCCTATGAGGATGCTGTGAGTGTATGCACACAGAAACATGCATGTGCATGAGCATCAGTGTGCCTCTGCAAGTGTGAGGATATGCACACGACTGAGTGAATTAGTGTGCACACAAATGCATGAATAGGTGTGCACATGGGTGTAAGTGCGTGTGGGCAAGTGAGTATGTGGGGCATGTGCATGTTGGGTTGGGTTTCTGTAGCGTGTGCTCTGGGAAAACCTTGCCTGGCTATCAAAGATGAATTATGTCTTTCTTTAAATGCAATTAAAAAAAAGTTGCACCTTTAGTCACTGTGATTTTCATTAGAGAATATTTGTAGTGGTATCTTTTAGTATTTTTCATTTGTGGAATCAATGGATTTTACAGATCGTGTTTTAAGGAGCATTTTACCACTTCCTGCAGCACATCTTCCTTCTGAGCAGGGAGCTGTGGGTTTGCTGAACTCAGTGTTGTCTTGCACTGTGAGAGAATGTAGGCAGCGTGGCGCTGCGTGGGCATGGACTACCGCAGGACTGGAGAACACTCCTTTCTGCTGGCTGATGGAAGCACAAGCCCTGGGCATCAGATCCTACTTTGACATGTGTTCTTCAGTAGACTCTCCAGGGAGCGTTCTCTGCAGTGGGAAAACCCCTCATCCAACGGGCCACATTCTGTGCTGTTCCCCCGTGGGTGGAAGATCTACACACAGCCATGGAGCTCTTCACAGCAAGGGACCTCTGCTCAAGTCGGGAAGGTGAGGACTCAGCAAATCAAAACCAAAAGCACATAAATAGAGAAGCCAAGGAAGATGCGATACTAAGAGAGGCTTAGGAAGTTATGTTGGTGGCTTACATATAGAAAAAGACAAAAATCGAAAGTTTTAAAAATGTGCAAATGAACAGCTTCCTATTTCTGTTTCCTGGCTCTCAATCCCTTTCTAATCCAGACAGAATTTCCTTGGGACATGTTTCTCCATCCTCCGCACTGGCTTACTCTGGGGAACTAGAATTATCAGAGACTCCCACGGCCCTCGATTCTGTAGTCCTGAAGATTGTTTGAAGGCTCACAGTCACCTGCTCTTCCAACCCAAATGCCTTTCCACTGGCATTTGCCACATGATGCTAAATCTTGTGAAGGGCCTCTTCCAGTCCTGCACTCAGAGACTCGCTTTGTATCTGTGTTTCTTGATGGGAACACGTCAGTCACCTTTGTGGCAGAAGCTGAAAGCCAAGCTAGCAGATTCTCACAGCTGGCATCTGCCCTGACTCTCAGCAAGGCTCCCAATGCCCCAGTGCAGGGCATGCCTGGTGCCCCTGTTTCTCTTCAGGGCATGGAAGGATCACATGAAGATGGTGTGAGATCAAAGGGGAGGAAGGAGGCCCTGGGCTTTTCCATCTGTGTCCTTCAGCCTGCATTGGGAGGTCAAGTGTGTCCCCAGAGTCTGATCCTGGGATTATATCCCTTCATTAGTGGCACTGAGCTCACTGGCCAGACAGCAGAACTAGCTTGGGAAAGGGAAAAAGTTGGTCTTCATTTCAACTGAAATGGAAACAAATGTTTTTGTTTACCATGGAGACTATGCAATATATAATTACTCAACACCATAGTGGTTTTATTGCTGAAGAGAGCTGTTTTATCTCTTTCCTCTACTTTTCCCTATGCATTTACTTTCTCTGGGTGTGTGTCTGTCTCTCTCTATCTCTCTGTCTCTCTGTCTCTCTGTCTCCCTGTCTCTCTCTCTCTTTCTGTCTCTGACACGCACATCCTTTTTCCGTCTCATGTGGGGCAGTGACTCTTAAGCTATGTGGTAAATTTTTATTTTTTATTTTCAAACTTTTGCAAAAAATTCTTTTATACAGTACAATGAAGAAACACTGTGTATAGAAGTATTTAACTTTCCTGTGTGTGCATGTGTGTGTGCACGTGTGTGTGCGTGTGTGTGTGTGTGTGTGTGTGTGGTGCTGCGGATGAGCCCAGGGTCTTGCACATGCTAGATAAGCACTCTGCTGCCAAGTTATGGCCCCAGTGTTATATTTAATATTTTAATGTGACAAATGAAATTGCTTTTTGATGATCTAATTGAGCAGCAACCATCCTCAGAAGGGGAAATGTCTACCTAAATAATTCATATGTTTTGTTTTAATAACATTCATAGTAGACAAAACACTTTCAGAGGTAAATTGATGGGAGTTGAAAAGATGATAAAGGAAGCTCAGCAAACTAAGTTTTATGCAAGTCAAGGCAAGTATTTAATTACTTTCTGATCTTTCTTCAGAAGTCAATTTTCAAAATTTATCTTGATAGATTATAGTTAAAATTATCTTCTGATGATAAGAACAACTCCAGTGCTGTCGGCCTTGTTGTCTTACAGCTGACATACTCGAACATCACGGGTTTAGCAAGGTTCTCCTGCGTGGACGTGCAGGGACCCAGACTGCATGAGTGTGTGGATCTCTGAGCTGGTCACTAAGGGAGTGGGTGTCCCAGCAGTGTCCCTGGAATGTGTTGTGCAAGTGCTGCCAGCATTGTGAACCCTTTCCTATCTTTCTCTGATGTAAGTAGCTAACAGTTCATCACACACCTCCTTTCAGAAACCCACCAGGCTCACCTCCTGTGGGTCCTGTCCCACACGGAGTCCTAACCTGCCCAGGCTTTTGGTACACCCAGGATGAACATCTGGGACAAGAAATTTTAAACCTGATTTAGAAACCATTCTTTGAGCATCTGGAGGTGGAAGAGTTTGGATGAAAATTTCTAAAATCACCAACCATATGAAGAATGTTCTGCATATACTGTGCCGGTGCCTGAGGATGTTAAATGAATGCTACTCTACCTCTAACGGCCTTAAAGTTTGGGAGGAAGTAGCACCCTGAGAAGAATGCTTCTCTCTGTCATTTTTGTGTCACCTCTACTTGATGATAGTCTGTCTTTCTAAACTTTTGAAACAGCAGTCTGTGTTAATGGCTGGAATTGATGGAGTGATTATTGATTATAACTGAGAAAACCTAACTCTCAGGGTTTGTTCCTCACCCTCTAAGATGGGCTAACCACTCATGACCTTCTGTGATAACAACATACAGCAAGACCTTGGTGCCATTCCTGCTCAGACAGGCGCTGATGTGTCAGTGGTGGTGGAGGTGCCCGCTAGAGGGACTCAGCAGAGGGCCACTGCTCATCCCACCACACTGTCACTGGGAAGCTGGGTCCTGACGCTACAAGGAAGCAGCTCACAAGCTCCTTGGTTCTTTGTGTTGTTGATGCAAGAATTCAGTCAATAACCAAAGGCAGCCATGCAGAAGTATGGGTAGAATTATTGTAAAGTAGACATAGAGGGATTTACACCTTGAAACCTGAAGGTGGGCAATGTCACACAAGCAACTGCTTCAAGTATGAGATTGGATACCTTTTTATCCACATGAGAGTCTTCCTGCAGTTCAATGAACTATGATGATTAAGATGCTTGATATTTTTCTTGAAAGTTACTTTAGAGTTACAGAATGTTTTCTTGGTTCTTTTCAGATGGTCAGGGTTCTCTCAGGAGGCTTAATCATGTAAGAAATTTAGGAAAGAAAAAGTTCTAATCTAAATCAAATCTCAGCCTACAATGGGAGGGTCCTTAAAGGGAGCTTCCCTTTCTCATATCGTTGGCCACAGGCCATGGTGACCAGGAATGCTGTCTGCTTTGTTTTGGAAATAGCCAGCTAGGTAGCCAGGTAACACAAAAACTATGTACAGCGTGTAACCTTCAAATGTCATTGTGCTCTGTGGGATGCTCCAGGTCTAAGACCTAACATATGATTATAAATGTATGTCTTCATTTAACTACAACTGGCCCAGCATGCTAGTTTAGACCCTGCCCCCTGCTTGGCCCCCAAGTCTGTTAATGTCTAAGTACCTATCTAACAGCAACCTCTTTATCTCAGGAATTCTGAGGGCTGGGCCCCATGTCTTTGCAGGATGTGGCATCTTGCCTATTCTGTGTCAGTAGTCCTGGATGACAGGTTTGCCTGGATTTCTTTTGATGAAAGACGTCAGAGAATATGTGTGGCTGGAGGTCACTGTCCATGACTGTGGACATCCTCTCTCCAGTGCTGGAGCCCAGCACCCTTGGAGGGTTGATAGGCATTGATACATTTTCCTCAGGAAAATTTACCACTTTACCCTCCTAACCATAGCATTAAAATATACTGCTTTGGTCACATCCTTACCAATATTGGAAATTGTTTGTTGATTCTACTTCTGCCTATTTAATAGAGGGAGGAAAATACAGATCTCATTCACTACGTATATCACTGGCGAGGGTGTGCACAAGTGGTATTTGTGTGTATATCTTTGGTGAATTGCCTGTGCATATTCTTAGTCCTTTTTTCCTTAGGTTGTTTTTGATTTAAATTGTTAGTTGCAGATACATTCAGCCAGTTCATGGTCTGTGTGATTGCTGGTCGCCCATGGTGAATGAAGAAGCTGAGATGAAGAAGCCTGGGTAGTCTTTGCTAAGAAACATACTCTTTTTCCTTTCATTGCTAGTACACATTACCTTTAGTGTAGAAAGGCTGCCTGCCCATTTTCATCGAGAAACCGATGGCTTTGATGATCTCATTTTGAAATGTAATAATAAAGGGCTGTCTATTTCCTGGCCACATCCTTCTCCATATTGCTGGCTATATCTGACCAATTGGTCTGATCCTTTCAACTTTGAAGCCTGAGTTGAAAGCTTTTCATACCTGACATTGGCCTTTTTTCTGTTCCTTGTATTTTTCCAGTGGAATATATTTCACTCCACTAACAAGTTTTTGAAACTGAACTTCATAAGAAATCCTACATAACACTTCAAAGAGTAGAGAAAAGCCTTTACTGGGTCTCTCTGAGCACCTGATAAAATCAGACAAAAGGAACATGCTTCCCTCTTTGAAGTCTCCATGTGTTGTGATTTGGGGAGCGAATGACCACCAAAGCCTCCTGTGCTTGTAGCACTAGAGCTGAATGGAAAGGGATTGCATCGTGAGGATGCTATAGCTGAATGTGATGCTGGAAGGTGGGACCTGGTCATAAGATGTGGGTCACTGGGGATGTGACCTGGAAGTGTGTATGTCCTTTCCCGGTTCCTCTCTTATTGTTTTGCTTCCTGGCCCCCTGATACGAGTGTTTTTCCTCCACTGTGCCCCTCCGCCATGCTATTTTTGCCCTGGAGCCCAGCTGACCACGGACTGCGACTGTGAGCCAAAATAACCCTCTCCTCATTTAAGTTGAGAGGTCAGGCACTGTGTCTCATCAGTGAGAAAAGTGACAAGGACACCATGCTATAGA